GATCTTTTAGCAGCCACACAAGGTTCAATTCAATATAGCATAAGCTGCTTAGACGATGAGTTTTGCGTGGTGGAGCCAACAACTTATCAGCTTGAAAATGCTTTTCGGAAGGGTAAAATCAAATAATTAAAGAACTGAGTAAATTGGCCGAACAGAAGTGTTTTAGAGACTCAAATGAAGTGTTTGGAACAAAAGCAAATAATTCCACAAGTTCCAGCATTCGAGGGATCCAAGGTACGACCTCGCGTCTCCGAAGCAGTGCGCTTATTCACTACGCCACCGACCGCTTGCGGTATGCACTTATCGTTCCCAACTTGTGCGGACAGAGCAGAGATTAAATGGTCCGTAACTCCCTTCAGAGAATCGTTCCGCAAATTCCGAGGGCAGATTTGGATTCAGCGGCTCAAGACACGTCCACATAGTACATCTCATTGCAAATGGCCGGATCGACCTGTTGGGCTTCCCTTGTAGGACGAGTCAGATTAATATCCCTAGCAGGACAGAATTCGGATCCCTGAGCAGCGATTTTCCCGAGAAGGTACCCTCATAGCGCCTTATGAAGCTGCAGTATACCGACCGGGACGCTCGTATCGCTTCATTTGCGATGTACAATGTGAAGCGAGGTGACTGACATGAAGCGGCTGCGGTGCTGTGGGTATATGAGTAAATATGCGCAGTCGTTTTCACCGCAGCTGCGAGCTGTGACTATGCCGATGCCGACGCCAAATGTAAACCAGAGGGGTTTTTGCAGGCTTTTTGGCCGTTTCAGTTAGTTTTCTCGCTATTCAGCCACACACACATCGGCTATCGAGTTACCGTGCTGAATGCCTCCGGTGCCCCTTCATCGCCTAAGGAAACCACCTTCCTACTGTTAATTCCACGCGTGCTGTGAGACTGGCGGCCCTGCGGATCTATGGTGATCTTAGCTCTATTACAAATCCATAGGTTTCCCGTCCCGTCTACGATATCATCTTCTGGAATTGGCTTCCTAAATTTTATCGGATCTTGTCAGCTGTGATAATGTTCTGTCACCCATCAATAAGGTCACTTACTCTACACATCTTGAAACAAACGTCGCACCGTTGCTGCGACCGGCGCTATGAATTTGGTTACCCCTCCTTTCTGAAGCCTCTTATCAAGTATTATCAACTGTTATCACTTCCTGTTAGCAACCAGTAATGTTCCTGTTGCACCCACTATATCGCTGTTCAATATGTAGTTTCTATGGCCCACCAATAAGGTCAACCAGTGGGCTGATTATCGCTGCTTCTTCACTTCGATAGCTCTCTTTATCAGTCCCTATCGCGCTATAAAAGCCCATTTTGCCCAAAAGGCTTTTCATTTCTGCATTTTCGCCTGTTAGGCTGCTTGGTGTACCTCTAATAAGAGAACATCTAGCTCTCCCGCTGAAGTAGATCTCAGGGTCCAGATGGTGGAAGAAGAAGTCAAGTTGGATGCGGCTACGGGTCATGGCACCAAGAAAGGAAGTGGTGACCCAAGAATGTGAGTTATGATGTAGACAGCTAGATATGCATGGTAACGTCGCCCTGTTTTCAGAGCTCGATTCACAGCCTCAGTGCTATTGGTAGTAAGCATGGGCTTATTGCAGCTGATTGGCCAGCGAATGGCAATTGGAGGGCCAGTACTGATCGCTCAGTTGCTCTTCGTCCTCTTCTGCGCCTTTACTCATGAGGTAATAATCCAATCTTCCGTTTCTCAAGCCTAGCGTAGGGTTGCAAATCAGAAGAACCACTCGCGAGACGCACAGAAACTAGGCAGGGCATATGCTAGCTAAGTGACACGACATACTGTAGCACGTCCCTCCTCGCTAATGTCACCCGCGACGTTACTAATGGGCACCACGTCGCCCACCCCACTTTTTGACCTTGACGGCTGGAAGTGAACTCATGGGCCATGCGTTGTTGAAGGGCGAACCACGATTAACAGAATCCGGGCGGCGTGACACACGTGGTTTGTCATGTATTTGTTGTATTTGTCATGTTGTTATATGTTGTAATGTTTCAAAGTAGGTTTTCGGTTACGGAAGATAAAACTTTATGAGCAGTTGAGTATATTCGGAGGTAATTACTGACGAGATCGATGAAAAATGGTGAAAAGGTCAGGAGATGCGCGCAGTGCGGTGGGTCTGCAATGTGTTAAAGAGGCTAGCTGTAGTTACCCGCTGTAGACAATAGGGTGCGTAAGCGGGATGAGTTCGGCTCGGTGCCATACCCCCCCCCCCCACTCCTTTTGAAGCAATACTTTCCCATATCATTCGTATCAGTCGTTTTCTACCAACTGTGAGTCTGATCCACCTTTATATTTACCAGTCTGGCTGACGCGCATTTCTGCGCGCAGGGTTAAACCTATGTTACTGATACTTGACAGGATTTCTGTGCTGAGCAGTAACACTTAGCCTAATTCCTATGTTTCCAAAACGGCCCATTTCATCATGTTTCTCCCTTTTAATGAACACTTGCCAATGTTAGGCTCATATCATATTTCTAAATCACCATTCGTTGGAAATCGGACAGCATAGCGGTTGGAAGGATTCCGATGGTAAAAATATCGAAATCACAGTGGCTCTTATCATTCCTCACTGGGCAACAACTCCAAACATCCTTTTTTCGGGAACTCGAGCGTTTAGCGGTGGAAGCAATTCCGACCGCTAAACTGAGGGATTTTGCTAAGGGAAAACATCTTGACTCATTAAGAATTCGCCCATTCATTCTTTGGCTACGGTGATGTGAGCAGATACGGACTCCCAAAAGCCCTCGTCGGACACTGTCAGAATTTATCTCCCACCTTTAATGTTCCCTAAGTACCTCTGAATTACTTGCTGGAGCAGTTCCCAGTGTTGCTATAACTCTGCTGTGAATTTTCCTGGCTATCTTATCAGCTGTTATCAATTCCTGCCACCCACCAATAATGTTCCCATACCGCCCCCTCCCCAACATCTCGTCGTTGCTGTGACGCGTGTTACGAATTTGTGACCCTCGCTTTCTAAGAGCCCTTATGGTATCTTATCGGCTGTTATCAATTCCTGCCACCCACCAATAATGTTCTCATCCTGTCCCCTATACTGCCTCTTGGAACCAAAGTCCTAGCGTCGCTGTGACGCGCGTTATGGAGTCGGTGACCCTCGCTTTCTAAGACCCCCTATGGTATCTTATCAGCTCTTATCACTTCCTGCCACCTACCAATAGTGTTCCTCCTACATCACTTATCAGTTTGAGCGCTCTATCGCTGTTTTGAAGGAAGTTATGAATTTCCGGTCAAACACACATACAGACACACAAACATACACACATACACACACACCAACAGACAAACTTAGCGGATTATATATAGTAGGATTCTACCGTCGGCGAGGAGTGGATCATTTCTTTGCTCTCTAGCCCTTCCGTAGGGTGTGATTAGCTGCGGATGGTTGGGCGTGCACGCGCGGCTGCGTTTAGCTTCATCGCCGGAACCATTCTTCATTGGTGGTTAAAGCGGATAAGTCTAACTGCTGGAAAACTACCAACTACTAGCGAAGTGATATCGTCTTGCCTCCCGCCAAGAAAAAGTAAAAAAAGAACGGGTTGGCGCCGGGCTGAAGCAGCTGTGCAGAGATGATTTATCGGCAGAGACGGCAGCGAATTTTTCCGCATCGTACCACTCTATTCTATCAACCAGAAACTTGGTGACTGTATACTGTTTGCGGACGGTTGGGCGTGTCAGTGCGGCTGCGTTTGGCGCGGTGCCAAACTCGTTCCACCAGTTGTTGAAGCGGGCAAGTGACAATACTGTATCATATCTTCGTATTACTCGTTTTCTACCACTTTTTGTCGCATGCGCTCTTCAACAAGAAGGCAGAGAACGGCTCTGATAGGGTGACACACTCATACTGGCTGACACGCCCAACCGTCCGCAGAGAACTAGAGTGTGTCTGTTTGTCGGTGTGTATGTCTGTCCATGTAAAATGCCTCCAGAGTGAGATAGGGAGAGTGATAGCAGAAATAGATACTAGCCGAAACCGAAACCGGTGGTGCTGCAGTATCACCTGCATTGATGTTCTGATTAGGATAGCGTCCCCCTCGCCTATAAAAGACACCCTTGCGGTAGGTTTGCAGTTATTGAACTACATGGTCCTTTCCAAGCAGGGCCGTGAGCAAGCACGAGCAGAAGGCTGCTAAGGTTATTGCATGGAAGTCTAATATCAAATTCGTCCACTGAGGGCTACCCTATGGTGCACACGAGGGTGTGCGTTAGCGAACAACGGTGTCCATGTAATGCTCACAGTCGTCAATGTTCTTATCCAGAGCGTTTTTGACTGTTTTATTTGTTTTTTTACATATATCCCGGTTGCCAGGTGATCTAATGAATCTCAATCCTGCAATCTGCAAATGACCATCGCGGACGCTGCCATGGAAGGTCTCTTTTACAGTGGCACCTTCTGCACGGCGAAGGACTGACAAGGCATCGTCGAGCATACTTTGACATCGTCAACGTGCTTGAAACCTACCAGACTCGTGCACGAACACATGGACATCTTTTCCAGGTTGGTGGAAATGACTAGCTCATCCGCATTCTGATACCAGGTGAGCAAGCATCAGGTAGAGAGAGAGGGACAAGACAATTAGGATCTGCCGCACCATAGTGCGCGGCGAGGCGCGGCGAATTCTCGGTTACCAATCTCAAGACTACAGAGGAACTAGTGTGAACTCGAACTGAGACATGACTCCATGCCCGAGGATATAGGCCTTTCTGTCTCTTTCACATCCGAGCTCGAACAGTCAGGGAAGAAAACTCGTCTTGCGGGTGGGGCGCCGCTCAACACGCCTACCAGCGCGATATATTGAGGTCGTCTTGTCATTTAGCCTCAGGGGACCTGAAACCATATCTGTCTTCTCCCTCGACAAGGAATGGGCCTCATCCCTGCTCTCTCTATGCATCAAAGCAACTGTTTCGCGGCCATGTGCCATAATCCATCGCCAGATGACAGCTCTAGGACACGGCGAAAACCCTGAGTGGGGTATTTGTCGACGAGAGTGTGTCTCTAAGGGAAAAATAGGCTTGTGTAAAAGCGGACTGTGTTCAACTTGCGTTTGGTCGCGACACCGCTGCGGTTTCCGAGGCACGCATTGCGTGCTCGCCGCCAGCTTGCTCCAGTGTGATGCAACCTCTTTGCAAATTGTACTGTAAGGTCATTCTGAATCTAATGCCTTCTAGCCCGATCCTCCAACGCCTTTGGTAACCTTTTTGCCAGATGGAACGGCTGTTGGTGGTGTTCATGAAGCGCCTGCTGAGAAGACGGATTTTATGATGAAACGCGATGAGGTGTACCATTCTCAGGGCTTGTTCTTGATTTTTTTTTTCGAATTACTTGAAGATTACTATTCTAGCATTATGCCAATATGTTCCAATACGCAATGCAAATGAATAAAGAGTTGGATATGATGATGGGAAAGGTTAGCTCTCTGATTCTACAGTACTGTAATAGACCGATGGGACCGGTTCAGCACAGGTCCGTTGAAAATTGGGGGTAACTTTCACCTACCATGTCAATGATGGTATCACAACGTCTCGAGAGTGTACAAATGGCGTCACGAGGGGATTACATATCATAGCTGAGGAAATTTCCTGCAGAGTAAGACCCCCTCCCTCTGCTTACGACCACCTTTCCCTTCCCAACCCACTACAGTCTTACCATCCTTGTGGCATTTCCCAACTTCTTGGACTCTTTCCGAAAGTTTCCGGTTTTTTTCGCTGTCAAGCGGGGAGGGAAGGCGGTCAGGTGAAACTGGAAGACTGGAAAGCCACGAAAAGTCAAGAACCTTTGGAAGATTGCCTGCCTCGGGAATTTTTTCAGAGCCAACTCCCCCGCCCTCCTTCCTTCAGAGGCCAAATACGACCTCGCGCTGGGTTTTCACCATCGCGCTTCCTGACCTGGCCTCAAAGAATGTTACTACGTTGCTAACTGTCAGTTACACGTCGGGGCCGCGAACTTGTGCCACATTATTGTGGGGTCGCTTATGTCGGGGTTCAAGTTACTGTATCTACGGTACTTATATACTCGAAATCCCTGAGATCGGGTAGGCGTGGCCGCATGTTTCAACTTAACCTGAAGGTGTCTATGCTTCTGGTGAGATATTTTCATCTTGACACAATTGTTGTCGTGTCTCTGTCCAACAGAGAACAAGATGACAGTTGTCCCAGACTGGAATATTCCACGAGTAACCAATTCCGTGCCATGTTCAAATGCCACGCCTACTCTGGCTCAGGGATAAGGAGTGTACACGCAAAGGAAAGAGCGTGTGAGGGGGCGTGGATCGTGCGCAGCCAGAGAAGTCTTCACCCTTTGCCGCCTGGAGCTGACAACAAATAGTACAAAATTGCTGCCATGGCTGCGCTCCTATGAACGCCCCCTCATACTCTCTTGTTCGGAGGGTAAATGAATTAGAAGAACTGAATGTACTTTTCAAATTATATTTCAAGGACAAAAAAGACGAGACCGCTGCACCGCCTTCTGCTGTACCACCTGCTGCTGCAGAGTCTGCTGTGGAACCGGTTGCCAAAAAGCCAGAACCGGCAGTCAAAAAGCCAACGGATTCGTCCACTAAGTCGCTTCCATCGCAGAAGGAAGGTAGCAAAGAACCCGAACCGAAGAAGGAAGGTAGCAAGAAATCTGGAAAGAAGAAGAAGAAGTCATAGGTCTTCGGAGGACAAAAGCAAACCTCCTTCGGAGAGACAGGGCAGTCAAGAGAAGCAAGGTAGTAAGGAGGAAGAAAAGCAGCAGGGAGAAACAAGGCAGCAAAGGCAGTGAGGAAAAGAAGAGCAGCAGAAGAGAACAAGGCAGTAAAGGTAGTAAGGAAAAGAAGAGCAGCAGGAGGGAACAAGGCAGTAAAGGTAGTAAGGAAAAGAAGAGCAGCAGGAGGGAACAAGGCAGTAAAGGTAGCAAAGGAAAAGAAGAGCAGCAGGAGAGAAAAAGGCAGTGAAGAGAAGAAAAGTAAGGCAAGCAGGACAAGAGAAGTAGCACAGAGAAGCAAGGCAGTCAGGAGTCCTCGAAGCAAGGCAGTCAGGAGCTTCCGAAGCAGGGTAGTCAAGAGTCCTCGAAACAAGGCAGTCAGGAGTCTTCAAAGCAAGGCAGCAAGGGGTCTGCACCGAACAACGAGATTAATCTGTAATGTATGATAGCGCTTTTAATCGATGATTTCTTCAACTTTTCACCTCAGCTAGTAGTGGCATTACTTACATCTCCGTAATTTCGTAAATCCCGAGTTTACGGAATAAATCTTTCTCACCGTTGTTGCCCTCAACCTCTTAGGACACTACAAGTGGTGCAGAGTCGCAAAGTATGGAACAGGACTTCCCGCAGCTGAAAAACCCTTCCGAGTGTGTCTGATTTTCGGACGTTGAAGAAAAAATTTTAGTATTTGCTGAGAACAGCCTTTATCCCCTTTTGATCAATGAGATTTATGCTCTGCGAGCAACTCGCAGGGATCTCGCAGATAGGGCGAGATAACTGGTCAGGTAGGCTTCAAGGCTGAGAACCCTCGCTGAATGTGAAAGTCCCGTCATTGCCGGCCGTGCTTTAGCAGTGAGGGACAAATGGCAGGGCGCGATTCCAAACGACGGTCTTTTCCGAGCTCCACAGACTTTTTTGTAAAGCGTAATGAGGAACAGATCACCAGAATATCAGCCCCTTTAGATCGGGCAGGCTACAAACGGCTATCCTTTTGGACTCATTACTGACCTTCACGTCACCTACACCACTGCCTTGTGATCTCACATTGTGACGCTCGGGCTACAGGGCACAGCATCGCTTCGTAAAATTTTGGATAACTACAGTTCCGACCAATCGTATGATTCTCTTGTCTAAACATTTTTCTCGAAGGGTGGAAACTTGCGAACGTCCATTCCTGTCGAGCGTAATACGATCCTCCAATTAATTCTCCCATTGATGAGAGTTCAACATGGGAAAATTATCTACCAAAACATTTACTCGGGCGCTTAGAACCACTTTCTTGCACAGAAACCAAATTGCCACCCACTGCGTTGTTTTTTCACAAGCGCTGCCGTGCTCTGGGAAAAGGAAAACCTGTGCTGTGTGTAAAACCTTTTTGAAAGGCGTTGCTGAACCAAATAGGACTTCTTGTTCAGAGTTATCTACACAGATGTCATTGACTGTGCGTAAGTACAGGTTCTCTCACCGTGTTATTTGAGAGCATCTCATGAGCATTCTGCGCCTCGGATCAAACATTTAAGTACCGGTAATCTTGAGATGGAGGTAGAGCAACCGTTGCGTCTTCCCGATGCGCCCCTCTGTCTTAAGGTAAGGCTTTCGTGGTGTGACTCCGCCGATAAGGTAAGTGTGGGCTCGAGGACAAGGTGTACACCCCCATTGCTGTGCACCCACATCCGAGGAGCCTGCTCCTTGCTGTGCATGGGGAACGGCTGCAGTAGCGTGCCGTGCCACTTTCTCCAGTCCAAGGCAGGGCACGCCATCTTTGTGATCATCACAACGGGGGGGTCGTATTTGCCCGCGATGGAGGGGGGGGTCGTAAACGCATGGCCCATGTTGAAGTGGAGAGAGCGGTGATACACGGTACAAGTGAAAAGAAGCTCAAAAGGGACGATGTAGATGACAATAAATAGAACTAGGCACTATCGAACTATTCCTAGGCCAAGAACTAAAAAAAATATTGCTGAAACTTTTTCCTCCTTCCTCACAAAAAAACTTCAAGACACTTCGCCCACCAACCCTCCTCATCTGGTCTAGATAAATCCCAATCCACTAATCCGCAAAATCTAGAAAAGAATCCATTGCAAAAGCTACCTATGAAACCGTAGAAATTGAATCCTGAGCAATTTCCTCACAACAAAATCAAACTCAACAAAACAAAATCAAACTCAACAAAAACAAACAATCAAAGTAATTCACAATAAAATGGATAAGAAAAAACTCACCGCTCAGCTGGGAACCGGAACTATGGATTACTTTTGAATTTTGGCTGTTCGCGGTCAGCGCGCTCATACAAGCTCATTGGTGCGCGCTATTTTACGGCCTGGAGCCAATTTCAAGCCAAACACGTGAAAAGTACCCCTCATTTGAACACCCATAACTTCGTTGAAAGTGAAGCTATCGGAGAGGGGTAAGTGGGAATGAGTAGAGCTAGGTTGGCTCTTGTCACCTGAATTGAGCGATTTCAAAAACGTTCCGATTCCAGAGATTTTCCCCGTTGTGATCATCGTTGTGATCCGTCTGTGATCATTTTTGCGAACCGCGAGTCGCTACGCTTTGGACGTCCATGGCAAGCTTCATACACGGCCTTTCGTAAAAAAAGAATTGTGCCGGAAGCTTGAAGATTTCTACTTTCCAGCAAGGCTTTAATTTTCTTCCTAGGCCTGCTATTCGAAAAAATTCCCCGTTGTGATCATTTCGTGCTCACCCCCACGACACGAAAAATCAACCCCTCCGAGGCCAGGAAACCTCCAGTTGGCTTGAAGACTTTGGTATGCTTCTGAAACACATGTTTCCGCAAAGGGTATTAGGAAATAGTCTATTGGGCGCCAATTGGCATCACCTGTGCAATGCGCCATGCATGGGGCTTTCACGCAGGTTTTGGAAAGGTGTAACTTCTAGATAGGGCTTCCCAAGTTGCAAGCAAATGTGCTCCTACGATCAGAAAAGTCCGGGAATGTACTTTCATCTGTTTATTAATCGTCACGTCGTGAGTCCTTTGTTTGTTTATAAATTCATGGTGCCCTTGTGGGCGGTGATCGTAGCTCCTATCATCGCCCCTTCCTCGTACGTATTGTCAGTATGCTACACCAGCGCCAGAGTGCTGGACGTGCTTGGGACGTACGTAGGTACTGCGACCCCCCCCCGCTCGACAGCAAAATTTTGTAAAAAAACCAGAAATTTTTTGGGAAAAAATAGACAAAGTGGTAGGAGGTTGGAAAAATCTAGGGAAGAGGTAACATGGGGAGGGGGGTCGTACTTGAAGATGGAATTAGGGGGCGTATTTTTCAGAAAATGATCACAACGCAATGACGTGCCCTGGTCCAAGGTCAGGAGAACGGAGCTGGAGGGTAGTAATACTCGGGTGCCATCTACTTCCCCCCCCCGCGGCTGCCACACGGCCAACCAGGCGCCTAGCCATTGCCAAACGCGCTTTTTATCCGCGCTCTATCACTTCTAGAAGTTCTCTACTGCTGGGTATGTGTTTCACTGACTCTTTCACTGTTTCACGGACTTTGGCAGTGACGCAAACGCTGCACCTTGAGGCGGAGACTGCACGCGAGTACCGCCACCATGAACCTCGTTCCCGTGCCCTTCTGGAGGATAGAAAGGTACGCTACCACACGTGCAGATTCACTCGCCTTATACCTTGCAAGGACTAAGATTCACGGATGTGAGTGTGTAGCTTGTCCTCAAGTCCACACTGACCTATCGGCAGAGTCACACCACGAAAGTCTCTGCTGTTTCAAAACATATGAGACACAATGGCCCCTTTAGCCACGTCATACCATCACTGTGATTGAT